CACCGCGCCCTGATGATCGGATTGATCAACATCCTCACGGTGCCGGCCAGTGCGTTTGGCCCTCTCGTGGCACGGGCCTTTATCCTGCACACGTCGGCGACGTGGCGGTGGAACTACTACTTTGCCATCATCCTGAACGGCTGCTCCACCATCCTGTGGTTCACGTGCTACTTCCCGCCGCGTTTTGAGACCCTGCACCGCAACCGGTCGCGGTGGCAGCAACTGCTCAAGGTGGATTTTATCGGCATGTTGCTCTTCTCGGGGGGCATGTTGTTGTTTTTGCTGGGTATCTCCTGGGGAGGGAACCAGTACGCGTGGAACTCGGCTCATGTCATTGCCACCATCGTCGTCGGAGCTGTTATGTTGATTGCGTTCATCCTCTTCGGTGTGTACAAACCGCCGGTGCTACAGCAAGCGACCAGTCCGACCGCAGCGCTAATGGGCTTATAGAGATTTACTCTGGGATTGACGAGCCGTTCATCCCCTTGTCAAGCTTCAAGAATATCCAATTCGACGTCATCGTCCTGCTGTCGGTCGTGGGAGGGATGGTGTACTACTCGAGTGCCGGTGAGATTTGATTTTTCATTCTATTTCTGGCCTGTCTTCGTCAGACACCAACTGACCCCATACCAGTGATCTACCCAACTCTCATCCAGATATTCTACACAACAGACATCTTCCGCGTCGGCGTCCTCACCTGCGCCCCCACGGCGGGGACCTGCTTCGGCCTGTTCGCAGGAGGTCTGGTGTGCGAAAGGATCGGCCATCTCAAGATGCAGTATATCTTCTCCGCATGTGCCTTGACGGCTTTTACGGCGGGACTGGCAGCCGCGAACGCCAGTAATCAAGAGTATGTCTTGCATTTTATTTCTCTACTCCTCATTGCCATTGCCGAATCCTGATATGGAAGAAAAAGTCTCGCAACGGCCTTTGGCGTCCTCGGAGGCTTCTTCGTCGGCTACCTCGAGCTCCTCACCGAAAGCACCTCGACAATCGTGCTGAGCGACCAGATGCTCCTCGGCTCGTCGATCGGAGTCTTGAACACGCTGCGAACCGCGAGCGGGACAATCGCCAGTAAGTAAAACCAGCGCCCAAACCTAGACACACACTCACTCTGGCTCTCCACACAGCTACCATCTACGTGTCCATCCTGACCAACACGGTCTCCGAAAAGATGACATCGGTGTTCGTCCCCGCCGTCGTGCGAGCCGGTCTCCCCACCAACATGGTGGAGCGGTTCATCGCCGCCTTCACCAGCGGGTCCGAGACGGCCATCGCCAGTTTTCCCGGTGTCACGCCCGAGCTCCTCCGCACCGCGACGACGGCGTACCAGGCCTGCTACTCGGCTGGGTTCCGGAAGGTCTTTCTGACCAGCATCGCCTTTGGGGGCTGCGCCATCGTCGCGTCCCTGCTGTACAGGGACATCAAACCCGAGGTCATGGAGCGTGGAGTCGTCGTGCACCTGCAACGTCCTAACCGGGAGGAAACAGTGGTTGTGCAGGGAGCGCCCGACAAGGAGGAATGAAATGAAAAGGAAAAATCAAATAGAACGAAAGCGAACAAAAGCATCGCTGATCTATCAAGATCCCCTGGCATCTTGTGGGCTGTGGGATGCTTTGCTGGATTCTCAAACGGCAGTCCAAACAAAAGTGGATGGTGTCGGTAGACTACGAGTATGCACTCGCTAAGGCTAGAGGGTTTCAAGTAGCCACCCCGTATGGCTAGAGATCATTGCTCGGTCCAGTGAGCCTCTCCCAGACAGACACCCTCTGGGGACTGTCGTCTCTGAAGAAATGAAGATCCCAATGTCCATGCATGCATGATTGTGAAAAGGCAACAGTAAGGGCCTCGCGCTATTGTCGGACCGCATGTCATGTCGTGTCGTATCCTACTACCGGCGACTAAAGAAGGACGGCTTCGGTAGTGGTCATCCCCCAGTTCAGGGGCGAGACGACTTCGAGGAATCCAAACGTGCAGGGCTCTCCACCGTGATCGGTCTGGAACCACGGGTTACAAGCTACGGTGTCGCTCATCCCTGGTCCGTGTTGGACGTCAGCCGTGGAAGACGGCTGCTGACCCGCTGGTGCTGGTGCCATTGAGATATCCGAGCCGGCCACAAGGGTGTGGTCTGGCGAGGATGATATCACCGGCTCGCACCAGCGGGTTGGGTCAAACGGCGCGGCTCTCCCGCTCGAATGGCTCAGTGTTCTCTGGTCCTTTGCTCTCGGCGTGGCGGTTTCATTCTGGCCACTGCCACCGCCGCCGTTCTTGGCCGCCGGACCACGCCAGATGAATTTGTCGAGACCCGTGCTCTCCAACAGCGAGTTGAGAACGGTGATCATGCGCTTGACGACCGGGTAGTGGACCTGCAAGCACTCGCAGACTTCGAGGATGCAAATCAACCACTTGTGATCTCTCAGCCCGCTGGCGTGGTTGTCGTTGGACGCCATGCTCGTGATCAGCGTGCTCGCCGTGGTGAAGATGATGTCCAGCATGAGCGTCGCGAACCCCCAGTCTTCAAAGGCGAGACGGCGGATTTCCAGCGTCTGCGCGATATTCACGGCGTTCTCGTGCATGATCCGCTGCGACTGCTCTCGGCTGTACGGCCACTCCCCAGAATTCCGGCCCGCCACGCCGGAAGAAGACGCGTACAAGTGTTGGCAAGAGCTGACGGTCCGGTGGAGGAGGATCTGGATGTTGCAGAATTGCATGTACAGGACACACAGGGAGGGTGGCCAGCAGGTCGGGTCCTTTTCGGTCCAACGCAGGTCCGGAGGCAAAGATGTCTCCCATCTCGTGATGGCCTCGTCGAGCTGTTTGCACTTTCTCAGCGCCTTTTCGTGGTCCAGTTTGATCCGATTGCACGCGTTGACCATCTTCCTCACTAGGCTGGACAGGTCAACCCACGCGTTCAGTAAATGCTCTTGGTACTCGGAGTAACCGCACGACATCCACGCGATGAGAATGTTCGAGGCCTTCAGGGACGAGGGGCGGCCCAGAAAAACACTCCAGACTTGTTCGTACACAAAAGTGCCGTACGTCATGCGTTGTCGTGCAATGGCGTCGTCTTTGGAGATGATACCGGAGTCGACCAGTTCCGTGCAGTCTTGATGCAGGCCCAAGTCCACTATGAGACGGCATGCGATACCTGGGTTCGTCAGTATCACTAGGGTAGTCAAGTGCGATCAAAACCGACGACACAGCGAAACGTACCAACGTAGATCCACCCCAAATTCTCGCTCCCATTTGTACACTCGTAGTCACTAAGCAGACAGAAGCCGTGGATGGTGGACATGATGGGACTTTCCAACTCCTTGATAAGCTGCTTTTTGGCCCGCTCGGCATACGAGCGACCCAGTTTCCGGACCGACTCGTCTTTGTCGAGGCGTAGCGCACAGGCTATGAGGGCGTCAAGGGCGAACTGAGAAAAGTGTTGGGACCGAACTCCTCTCTCGTACCCGGCCATGAAGAGCTTGGGATCGACCAGGTAGATCGACATGTCCTGGAACTTCCACCACTTTTCCAGGTACTTTGCGCGGAACTCGCCAGTGTCATTGACGGGGCTCCCTTGGTTCGTGTAGGGTTCCATGGGCGCGGTGTGTAGCCAGTGACCCGGGAATCGGCCGTCGAGGGCATTGATGGTGGTCGAGAGCTGTTCATCCCCAGGGCCAGGAGGAATAGGGAATTGTCCGATCAATGTCGAGGGCCTTTCGAATACGTCATGGTGCCAGTAGTTGAGGCCCAGATCGCACATACTGGGGTCTGCACTTGTCAAAAGGGGCGCTGGCCAGCGAGAGACGAATTGATATCAGCTCACCTTCTCTATCACGGGCAGATGATGACTCGGGCAATCCGTTAATGCTGGAGGTTTTATGTGTCTCTGGTGTTTGAGAAGGATCACACGGGTGGACCGCCATCGTATCAGGCACAGCTGTGTGTTTGTCAGACGATCCAGCATACATCGACATGACACGAAATAGACAAACCGTCGACCAGGTCATGACTGTCCAAGCTGTCAATCTCCATCGCACCCAGCACATTGCGATCGACCTGCGTAGAAAGTGCTCCATGCAAATGTCGGGGATCTGTGATCTCGCTTTGACCAGGCGAAACCCCCGGATTCTTATGTGACGATATACCTCTCTCCTCGGGTGGCTGAAAACTTCTGATCTGGGACTCGAGGGACTCAAGTCGCTCTTCGAGCTGGCGCACATGTTTCTTGGACGCGTTGCTGTCACAGAATCAGACCAGCTCCCGAGGCCTTTGGAAGAAGAAAAAAAAAACAGTTGCCACCCACATCTTGCGGTTGTCGTCGTAGCTCACAATACATTCTATCCCAGAGTTTCTGCACAGGCGACAGGGCTGTCCATTTTGCATGAGTTGTACATTGCACTGTATCCATACGCTGTCAGTCAGCCACACGCCCACGCACGAGATCACCGACGGAATTCACCTTGACTTTTCGTCTCCGGCACGCAGTACAGGCGACGGAAGCTCTGGACCTCGGGACATGGGGTCCCCTTGCCGTGTCTCCTGCGGAGGGAGACATACTGGCCGCGAGTTTCTCCTGCAATACTCAAGCCATTCATTCACGTCGGAATATTCGAAACCGTCAAGTAGCTGACTATTGGAATTCCAATCCTCAACCGGGTCGGTTCAGAAGGACGAAATGGCAGGTCAGAAAAGAGCCCGGGGGGATTGGCCATGTTGGCCATGGCAGAAGGGGACCCCGGACCCCGGACTCCGCCACCCCCTCTTCCTCTTCGGCTCATCAGCCGTGCCCAGTTATTTCAGGCCAGCCACAAACCCCCGCAGCTTCAATGGCAACGAGGCTGGTGTAGCCGCTAGGAGGATGCGGGAAAGTGATAAGTAATCTACCACTTGGCAAGATAGAGAACTACTACGAGACTTGCTCAAGGCAACTTCTTCATACGGCAACAGGGTCATATCCAACAACAGAGCAAGGTCATTTTGTATCTATTCTTCCACTCCTACATTCCTCATAATCTGCTTTTGGCCTCAAAGCCGAGTAGTCGGCGAGGCAATTCATTCTCGAGTTGTCTTGCATTGACATGGTCCGGAGTGAGCTGGTCCAAGGCAGTGACGCCCATCAACCTCATGGTGCTCTCTATCTCGTCACTCAAGACTAGGGAGGATAAACTGTTAGCTGAAAATTCAACCAGGTAGGCTTGAGACTGTGACTTACTTTGGATGGCTTTCACGACACCATCCGTACCATATGCCCCAAGAGCGTACATGAATGGCCTACCCAGTCCGACGGCAGTGGCACCCAGACACAGAGCCTTGATCACATCGCTCCCCCGACGAACGCCACCGTCAAGATAAACCTCCAGCCTTTCCAGGACGTGCGGGCAGAATGTCCTGATCTCCAACAACGTCCGGAGGGCGCTAGACCCAGAGTCGAGTTGCCGTCCTCCGTGGTTGCTGAGATAGATACCGTGCACGTTTGCACGCAGCGCCGCTTCTGCGTCTTCGGCACATTGGATGCCCTTGAGGTAAATCGGGCCGGCATCACCCCACTCTTGACGGATCCATTCGAGATCGCGCCAGTTGAGCGTCGACGAGTGAGCGCCGCGTAGAACAGGTGCATCTTCTCCCGGGCTTGCGTAGAATGGACGAGGAACGTCGTCGTCGCCGGCCTCGTATGCTATTTGTGCTTGGAACAGCTCATCCTCTTCCCTTTTCCCTCCTACGGCAGTGTCGACCGTAACGAGCAGCCCTTTAAACCCGAGTCTCTTCGCGTTCCGAATCAGCGCCTCGGTCCGTGATCTCTCCTTTGCGACATAAAGCTGGAAGAACAGCACTGTAGGTGTGTCTGGCTGTACATGGCTTGCGAGCTCTTCGTGCGGAACAGACGAATAGGTGCTCACGCAGTATGGGATTCCGTATTTGATTGCGGCGCGGACAAGGCAAAGCTCTCCGTCAGGATGAGCTAGACGCGCCATTGCAGCTGGTGCGATGAAAAACGGCAGGGAACTCTGGAACCCCATGATACGCCGACTTGGGTCTATCTTGGCCACATCAATAAGCGTCCGTGGACGAAGGGAGATTCTTGACCAGTCCTGTTGATTCCTGTAGAACGTCACTTTATCTTCCGCCGCCGAGTGGAAGTAGACAAAGGCTCGCTCCGGGATCGATACACGAGCTGCCTTTTCAAAGTCGTCAAGATTCATGCATAGCATCAATGGGATCGGGTCCCCTTCTTTGAATTTCCTCTTCGCCACTTTGACATTGCCTTGGTCGATAAGCACTGGACCTTTACAGTTCTCTGTGGGAGTTAGTGCGCCATCAAGCAATGGATGTCCACCTTCTCACCCTTGCTCAAATATCTTTCGAGAGTCCCAGGAGGGTGTAAGGGCTCATACGCCGACGTGGCATCCTGGTATAGTGTGAGAAGGAGTTCCAAGAGTCTACAATCTTCTTATGCACACCTGGCCTGCGTATCGAAGGATAATGGCTGAGCCGCCGGGGTGATGATCCAGAAAGTCGGTCAGATCGTACACATTTCCTGAGATGATGACCCAGCAAGAGTCCTTTGTGCCATGTTCCTCCACCTGCGCCTTGGTGAGCATCCTGTCGCTGTAAAACTGTAACTCATCAACAGTATTCCATGAAGGCGGGTTGAGCTGTTGTACATGTCCTCCTTGCCATGGCTCAGATGGTCAATGCGAACGGACCGAACTGAGTCCCCACCAGTAGTCCTCCGTTGGTACGGTACCCCTGCCCTTTAGGCTATCCAGTGGAGCATACTTGTCCCCTATCATCATCGACGGCATGTTAAAAGCGGAAAATCCATTGCCGTCGGCCCCATTGGCTAGGCAAATCAGGCAGATCCAATCGGAGAGAATGTGAAGACAAGCGTTGGCAGTAAGAGTCAGACAGTCCCGGATTGCAATGTTTTTTTCAACAAAACGACCGAGTGAAGCTGGTACTATGGGTATGGGAATTTCCTTCGAGTACTCTTACAAGGACAGATACACACAACCAGTCTCGTCGAGGCGGATGCTTCGGATAGCAGGTTCCGGAGGGCTTTATAGACTAAGTATTCTCCGCAGATTGATTTGTCTGAAGCGAAAAGTATAGTCAACCTCACCTGTGAAGCTTTTATCACTATTCAATTCATCCTGAGAATGTCTCCCCGCTTTGAGAATCGAGTCGTATTCGTCACAGGCGGTACTTCCGGGTTGGGAGAAGAAGCGTGTAAGCTGTTCGCCGCCGAAGGTGCTCAAGTCTTCATTACAGACCTGGAAGAGAGGAGCATTTGCAGTCGCGTTGGGCCAAACTCTTCCTTCCATCCCTGTGATGTGGGAGACCTGTCACAATGCGAAAAGGCCGTCGCAGCGTGCGTTGACAAATATGGTCGTATCGATGTCCTCTTCCACAATGCCGGTCGGTTCGCGCCGCTTGCAACAGTGCCACGCCACGATATCGACTTGTTCAAAGATGTCATCAACATTGACCTGATCTCTGGGTTCTATCTCGGACGCCTCGTCATCCCTATCATGCAGAAACAAGGCAAAGGGGCCATCGTCATCACCTCAAGCACTACGGGACTAGGTGGCGACTTCGGAGTCCCAGCATATGCCACGGCAAAGGCAGGTATAGCTAACCTGGCAAGATGCATGGCTTTGGATCATGCCCACGAGGGCATCCGCGTCAACGTCGTCTGTCCCGGCTACATGATCACGCCGATGACCTCGGGGTTTCGCCAGATGCCAGAGGCCGAAAAGTTCCTGGTAGATAGCATCCCCATGAAGCGCGGAGCCAAACCGATCGAAGCGGCGAGGGTAGTGCTCTTTCTGGCATCTGACGATGCGTCATACGTGACCGGGCAAGGTAGACATGTCGCATTCAGTGTGTAGTTCTGTACTAACGCTACAACAGCACTTGCGGTCGACGGCGGTTGGACTTGTGGTTCGGGGTCGCCGAACATGGCTCAATGGCTCGCTTGACTGATTGATCCAGTTTTGAGTGGACGATGGAAGTGTGTATAGCAGCTAATAAGAGTAGCAGCAGAGACAAGGGAGCGACGTCATGTTGCAATGACTGGCATCGGTTGGCACTCACCAATACCCGCCGACTGATTGCGCGCGCGCTTTGACGCACAGCTATAGCTCGGCCACGACATTTGCTCTTTTACTGAACTCGCAAGCTTTTGATGTGTCTTTGACATCAGAACGTACCCTAGTATTTCAGATTTGAGTACCTGTCTTTTCCCATTCCCGAAACTCGAATTGATATTCCTCTTTTCAACACGGAGCATTCGAACGTGATGTGGCTGCCTGAGATACAATTTTGGCAATTTCTGGGTTTACACAGTGCCTTGCTTTCTCCAGCGGCGATAGATCCAGGCCTGACTCTTTGGCAAGTAGACTCGCACCGCGATCTAGGAGAAACTGTACTCTGGCAACGTCACCCTTCCCAATGGACACCCACAGAGGTGTTCCAGTAAATATGGAAACATCGCGGAGGTCATCAAAATCAGCAAAAAGGACATTATCGACCGGCGCCCCTCTATTGTACAATAACTCGAGGATTGTTAACGCGTCGGGGTCTTCCGCAGGTCTTTGACAAGCGAACCAGACCAATTCGCCTGTTGTCGCAGAGCCACCAAAATCCAGGAGAAGCTGGACGATCTTGAGGGGCGCGTATTGGACGGCACGAGAGAGCGGCGTCACTCTATATTTTGTGGCGAACGCATTAGGATTCGCGCCGTGGACAAGAAACCATCGAACGACATCTTCGTCGGCACCTGCCTGAATGGCGCGCCTGAATCGTTCAGCATGGGACCGCGTCTTTTATCTGCACATACTCACCCTAGAGATGGCGGATCACAGTAGCTTTCAGGCGTATTAATGTCCCAGCTGTTATCGAGAAGGACTTGGAGAATTGGTAGAGATCTGGATTCGGACGCGAGGAAGGCTAGCCCCTTCAATTCATTATGGGTGGACGGGCGATGATTGAGGAGGCGAGCGAGTTCATCAGCTCGACCTTCGGCGGCAGCATCGGCGGCAGCGATTCGTAAAGGTATATCAGACATGAGTCTTGCTATTGAGGCTTGGTTGGTCAACCACTTGGTAGGGCGAGGGCGTGTCGATTTGGAACATGTGACTCGCAGAGCTGCCAAGAAAATGTAATGACCGTCACTCTGTGGCACGCCTGGCAGCCTGGGAAGTACTCGGGCCGAAGACGACCGAACCACGCCAGTACTCGGTGTACCTCCCTTTAATGGATTTCTTGCTCCTTGTCAGGTCAGGTTGCTTGCACAGTGCCAGCTATTGATGCGGAAACGACTCATGTCCTTGGTGAGGCTATGCTTTATCAGACTAATAACACTGCGCGGTGGTGATACCCAGCAAAGCCACAAGCATGAAAACTCGCTAGGGTAACCCGACATATGCCAGTTTCCGATGAAATGGCGTACCTTTATTGTATGTCTGCTTCCGAAATCTCGACCACAATTAATTGGGCTCATAAAACTGACTGCAGTGAAATATAGAGGCCCTATATTCCAAATTTCGAACGGAGAAACTCCCCCACCTCCGAGATGGTGCGGTCCGCCTCTGGTGCCCGGCCCGCCATGAAATGGTATACATGTTGCATTTCTGGCGCCACCTCGAGATGTGCTTCGACATTCGCCTCCCTGATCTTCTGAGCGAGCCTGACTCCATCACTCATGAGCAGCTCCCAACCGCCAACGGAGATATGGAAAGGCGGCATGCCGGTGAAATCTGCGTAGAGGGGGTTGGCCAGAGGCTCCTTAGGCGACACTTTGTCCCCCAGGTACAAAGACACGGTGATATTCGCTACGCCAGGAGGCGACAGTGCGTCCTTGTCTGCGTTGGATATCTGCGACTCGCCCTTGGTTTCCATGTCAACCCAAGGAGAGAAAGCCACCACGGCCGCTGGCAGTGGGATCCCGAGCTGCTTCAACTTGAGGACCGAAGCCGTTGCGAAGTTCCCGCCTGCTGAATCCCCCGCGACGGCGAGGTTCTTCGCATCAAAACCCTTGCTCAGGAGCCATTGGTACGCCGCCACAGAATCGTCGAGGGCGGCTGGGAACGGATTCTCAGGTACAAGACGGTAATCAATAACGAGGGCGAGGCTTTTCGCCGCCTTTGCCAAGTGCCCGGCAAGTTTACGATGACTTGATGGAGATCCTGCGAAGCCAGCGCCGCCATGGAGGTAGAGTATCACTTGGGAAGGATTCGCATCGAGTGGCTTGCACCAGATGGCCGGACGCTGCGTGCCGGGACAGCGGACTTCCTCGTACGTGATATCCGTCGGCTCAGAGGCAGGTTCGTGAAGTGATTCCAAGAGTGCTCGCTGGTCTTGAATGCTCATCGGCGGACTGGCCATCATCCGCTCCTTGATCCCATTGTACAGAGTGACCAGGATCTGTGATTCCTTTGAGGCAGGCATTCTGACGAGGGGGTGCTTGGGGTAGCTGTAGGCATCGTTTCATTGGTGAGAGGCTCTCTTACGAGTACCTTGATATATTGTGCAGGATGTCGGCTCCTATACAGCCGACAGGATTGCAAGCTTGGTACGGTACAGCTTTGACTGGGCGTAGGAACGGGAACCAAAGAGATGTTTCTGACCTCGGGTAAATTCTGAAGCCGTTGCGCCCGAACAGTTGTGGTATAGCGCAGTACACCGAGTACAGTAGAGGATTGCCCTTTTGTTACTACAGGTCTTTCCCTCTACGGACCTTTCAGTCTCGGTTTATATCACGAGCATATACTAAGAAATAAGTCCGGGTGCACTCCCAAGTTGATATATCGAAAATTATTGGTTCTACAGGAGATCGTTCGCTTGGTGGAAGTTGATGGCGTCCAAGACGATTGCCATTCAAGACAGTGCCTTGACGGTCAGTTCCAGGGCAATCAGGGAGAATGACTACTAGAGCCCTAAACTAGGCAGACTCTCTCCCATATTGTCCACCACCTGAGCTATCCTACAACCTGGGGCTAATAATTTTCTGAGCGTCTTGTACATAAAGTCCACCTTGGCAGCGCCAACGCGGGGACATTTGCCGCGAGGCCAGTAGCTCGGGAAGCATTTCCTTTGTATTTCGATCACTTCTGACTCGGTTTTCTTTGTGAGTGAGAGTGTTCTTGGAACATTGGAACAACATGTGGTATCAGCTACTTTGACACCCAATCCAGCTGGGCCAACTGGATAAGCTGTCGGCTAATACGATGGGCCCCGCCGTGAATCCGCGAGTCTCTTCTCTGGGCACATCAGAATCCTTACCCGGCCCCGGATTGAAACCGAGAAATGGGGAGTGGGCTTAGAGATGCGGAAAATGCAGTTCATTTAGCCCCGAGTCAGACATGGGCCGGATGCATATGTATCTCAGGGGACAACTTTCCACCTGTATTGAATATCTAAGCAGCGTGTGGGGTTCTGTCAAGGAGAGACGTTTTGTCGTTTTGTACCAAGTTACAAAAGCTCTCGTCGACATAGTTCCTCCTCCTTTGTATACCTCACAGATCACATCACACATCTATCACAATGATCGAGGTCGGAGTGGTCAATAACGAGACGCTGTCGGCACCAACCGCAGAGATCAAGGAACAGGCACAGAAGAGCAACATCGCGCTAGATTTCGACCCTGATGCCCTGAAGGCCAAGTACATCGCTGAGAAGGAGAAGCGAAGCAAGAATGGCGGACTGGAGCAGTACCAGCTAGTCAGAGAGCATGCCAGCTTGCTAAAGTTTGTCGACGACCCCTATGTCAAGCCGGGATTTACTCGGGAACCCGTCAAGCATCTCTACGATGTCGTCGTCATTGGCGGCGGGTTCACTGGAGTTCAAGTTGGAGCGTGTCTCATTGGCCAAGGGATCACGAACTTTTGTATTATTGAGAAAGGGGGCGATTACGGGGGCACCTGGTATGTTGCACTGTACCTCTCCTAGATCCACAGCCCCCAATAACTCACTACAAAAGGTACTGGAATCGATATCCCGGAGCTCAGTGCGATATCGAGTCTTATATCTACATGCCACTGATCGAAGAGATGGGTGTCATGCCCACGGAGAAATATGCTCGGGGCCCCGAGCTTCAGCGCCATGCACGAGCAATCGCCGACAAGTATAGCCTGGAAGATCACACGCTATTCCAAACCGTTGTCAAACGACTGGTTTGGAACGATACCACGGCCACGTGGAAGATCGAAACCAGTCGCAACGATGAGATCGAAGCTCGCTGGGTCGTCCAGGCGCCTGGGCCACTTCACACCCCCAAGTTTCCGGGCGTGCCAGGGATCGAGCTCTTCAAAGGAAAGAGCTTCCACAGCTGCAGATGGGACTATTCGTATAGCGGTGGCACCCCCGAGAACCCAGAGCTGACCAAGCTGAGAGATAAACGCGTCGGGATCGTTGGCACTGGAGCAACGGCAATTCAAATCGTCCCACGCGTTGCCGAGTGGGCCAAGGACTTGTATGTTTTTCAAAGGACGCCTTCCTCGGTCGATGTTCGAGGCAACAGGCCAACAGACCCCGAGTGGGCCAAGTCTCTCACCGCGGGCTGGCAGAAATATCGCATGGAGAACTTTGCGACTCTCGTGTGCGGCGGCCACGCTGATGAAGACCTGGTTGCTGACGGTTGGACCGACATTCTCCGATCACTGGCAGGGTTCTACGGGACTGGAAGTGATGCCGATGATCCACAGGCCCTGGCGGTCAAAATGCAACTTGCTGATTTCAAGAAGATGGAGTCGATCCGCCACCGCGTCGACAGCCTGGTGAAGGACCCCAAGACCGCAGAAGGTCTCAAGCCCTGGTACAACCAGTTTTGCAAGCGTCCGTGCTTCCACGACGAGTACCTGCAAGCGTTCAACAACCCGAATGTCCACTTGGTCCACACGGACGGCAAGGGCATCGACCGGGTGACAGAGCGCGGCATCGTTGCCAATGGAGAAGAGATCGAGCTCGACTGCATAATCTATGCTACGGGATTCGAATTTGCCGGCGATTTCTGCGGTCGCTTTGGCGTCGAGATTGTCGGCCGCGGTGGCCAGACATTGAGTGAGAAGTGGAAAGACGGCGCATCGACCTACCACGGATGGTCTATCCACGGCTTCCCGAACTTGATGACCTTGACGCCGCTCCAGTCTGGCTCCATTCCGAATTTCACCCACAACGTGGTCTTCATGATGCCACATCTCATTTACCTCATGGAGCAGTTTAAGAAGCGACACATCAAGAGCATTGAGCCGTCTGTCGAGGCCGAAGCCGCTTGGGTGGCGGAGACGGTCGAGCTGGGCAAGTCCCGAGGAGACTTCCTCAAGGAATGTACTCCCGGCTACCTGAACGACGAAGGGGTGGTGAACGAGGTGACTTTGAGGAACCAGCCCTATGGTGGCGGTGCGCCCAAATTCAACCAGATGCTCCGCGAGTGGAGGGAAGCGGACCGCATGGAGGGAATGCTGATCACATACGAGAATGAAAGCGACGAAAACGGCACATCGAGTAGCTCGACGAATGGGAACCTTCAGAGTCAACCTCCGACCAGCACAACAGTGCAGGTTGCGAGTGCATAATGGGAACAGAAACACGTCAATTTACGGGTGACATACGGTTCAGATAGCAGCTCCATGCCCCAAGTTTAGGCCAAAAAGGCCTGGGCCTAATTTCTTGCGTAGCCAGAAAGCTATCTCTATTTGCAATACAAAAATGTGTGTAGCTACAAATAATACGGACCGAGTCAGATTCTGTCCAGATATAGTCGGATCCAGCTCATGATTCCTTGTCCGGGCCTGGGTGCCCGGGTATTGGTCTGCCGGATATTCTTAGACGGATGGAAAAAACTGTTATACCGAAAAGAGGAATCACAGAGCATCCCTACATAAATACATAAATAAATATACATACATTGACACGCTATTCTACCATCACGCCACAGTACAAAACGCCTTGTGTCCTCCAACTCCATTGACGAGCCATCTCTGACACACTCCCTGCTCCCAATAACCGGTGGTATTCACCGTGAGCGTCCCCAACATGTCCACCCAAGGAGGCTCCAAAGCCATAGCCCCGACACTTTTCAAAGGGCGCGTCGGCCTCGTCACGGGAGCTGGATCACCCTATGGCATAGGCCGGTCGATTGTGCTCCGCCTGGCAGAAGCCGGGGCCGAAGTCATCTACGCGACGGATCTGAATCTGGGGAACATTTCCAGCCTGGAGAAATCCGTCAAGGAGATCAATCCGGCCTGCACGGTCGAAGGACGGAAGCACGACGTGGCGTCGGAAGAGCAGACGGTGGCGCTGCTGAAGTCCATCGTCAAGAAACACGGCCGTTTCGATTTCTACTTTGCCAATGCGGGCTTTGCCGACGTCAAGTCTGTTTCTCCCCGATGTTTTTCTTTGAAAATGCGAAAATGGCCGGCCGACTAATCAATCTGTGGGCGATTGCAGGAACATCAACGACTTGACCACGCGTCATTACGAGCGCGCAATGAACGTCATGGCGACGTCGGTGTTCTACGCCATCAAGTACGGGAGTCAAGCAATGGCCGTCACATCCCCGGCGAAGCCGCAGTCAGCCGGGACGATCGTGGTGACCGCATCGGTGGCGGGCGTTTCAGGCCTGTTCTCGGACCTTGGATACTGTGAGCTGGCCCGCGAGGGATTTTCTTACATCGCCCCGAGACACATCTGACACGGGGAGCAGCAACCGCAAAGACCGCAGCGATTGGTCTGGTCACGCAGGGCGCCGTGAACCTGTCGGCGAGCAACATCCGCGTCAACGGCGTCGCGCCCGGCGCCGTCCAGACGAGCTTGATAGTCAACGCCCCCTTCGCGCAGCAGGAGAAGGAGTTCAATCTCGTCATGAGCGAGTCGGAGGCCAAGGAGGTGTTCCAGAAGTACATTGACGTGCGGGGCGTCCTGGACCAGCAGCAGTATTACTACAACCGCGTCGCGCAGCCCGACGAAATCGCAGATATCGCCGTCTTCCTGGGCTCGGACCTCTCGTCTGCCGTCAACGGGCACGTCGTCGTGGCGGATAGCGGCAAGACCAAGGGAGCTCTTGGGGAGTCTTACGTGGGACCCGTTCCTCCGGTGCAGCCGCTGGACTTGTCTTGAGGTCCTAGACTCTCTCGATATAGTAGTAAGGAATGGAGAGAGGGCATTTCTCGGATCCACGGTATGATATCAGGCTATAAGGCATTAGCACTAGTCCACAGTTCAACAGAACGGTCGACTTGTCAATGCGATCTTAGCTCCATTACTGTTATCTCTCTGTTTACCCTACGATCTCTTTTTCCCCCGCCTTGCACAAGGCTTTGCCCCACCTCGACCCACCTTCCTAAAGCGGGTTTGTCCTGGGGAAGTTGTAGGTCGTCGAGTTTCAACAGCACACTTTATCATTTTGCCTCTACATCTCGCCGAGGGTACTTTTGACGTTGGGCACAGGTGTTGATCAGATAGATTACTCTCTTACGCGGCACTATTAAACAACCGAGGGGGCAAGGTTTTGTCTTTTTCTGGGGAGGGCGGAAATTAGATACACAGCTCCCCAAATGTGTTTCACTCGTGGAAAGTTGCCAAAAAGCTAAACAGGTGGATAGATTAGATACCCTGTCAATAATACCTCATCGATAGCTGTACGGGTACAATCGGCAGAGACTCCTAACCTCGCCAAAGGCCCGCCGATTGACGTCTCCCTCATCCGTTTACGGACGCTTTTTACATCTTGGACTCTGTGACTGTCTCGACATGGTGATCTTCCATCTTGCCATCCTTTTCTGCCGGCGGGGTTTCGAGGTTCGTGACAGGAGTGGCAGTGACCTCGTCGTCCAGGTGAGCGACCGGTTCTTTCCCGAACAGCTGATCGATTTCTTCGAGCGCAAGACCTGCCGTCTACATGACGAGGAAAGGGAGCGCGTCAGTTAATTGATTGCTTGTGGCATTTTTTTGGGGGGGAGCCGAAGAAAAAGAAAACAAGAAAGCACCGGACTCGAATTCGCAGGGTGGTGGCTTCTTACCTCGGGAAGGAAAAAGTACTGCACCACCGTGTGGACGATCCCAAGACACATGAAGACCAGGTAGTACTTCCAGCCGATGGCGGCCTGGGCGGTGGGCAGGAGTTCAAGCCAGAGCGTGTCGCAGAGGAAGAGACCGCAGAGGCTGATGCCCACGGCCTGACCGCGAATGTGGGTGGGGAAGATCTCCGAGACGACGGTGAAGGTATTGGGATCGATGAACGTGCCGTACCTAAAGTGGGGCGAAGAAAATACCAGTTCAGCACCAAACACGCGCGCAGATTAGTTGGCGGGAAAAGATTGAGACGCTTACCCGAGCACATAGAGGAACAGAAAGACGGTGACGGCAATGGCCATATCTTTGGATCCAGTGTTGCTGTAGCTTCCGATCAGCCCGGTAGCAACGGTGAAGCATGCCACCGTGCCTCCGAATCCGTAGACTGGCAAGACAAGTGTTAGTAAGTACGCCTCAACAAGAAAAAGGGGAAAGTCAATGGGGTTGGGGCTTGTAAAATCTTACCCATGGCCCAGCGGCGCCCGATTCTATCCGATATAAAAGCACCGAGGACATTGGCGATGAGTCCGACTGTATTCCAAGCTGCGGCCAAGAGAAGAGGCATAGAACCCTTCAAACCCAGGGACTGGTAGATCAAAACGTTGTAATTGTTGATGACCAGGATCTGTTCATTCATTGTCAGCGCTCCTAGTCGCCCATCAGTACTCTATGTTACCTACACCGGCGTTCTGACCGCCCGCTGCGACCGTCAAGGCCAGGTATAATCTCCTTCGATACGACTTGTCTGTGAAGAGTTGCCATCGCCCTCCAACTTCGTAAGCGCGGCGGTCCGCCTGCAGCTGACGCACTATCAAGTTGAGCTCTCGATGTGCAAAGGAATCCTCAGGGTCATTAACATCGTGGTGCAAGCGACAAAGGATCTTCAGGGCTGCGTCGTTTTGTCCGCGTTGAACAAGCCATCGAGGGCTCTCAGGGACTAAAGTGAGGGACCCAGTGGTCAGCAAAGCGACATCTCACACATGAGTGGAATTGCTTTCTCTTGCATACTGAACAGAGAGCCGACTATGAGAATAAGGGCCCAAAGAAGGAGAACGGCGTTTGGGAATCGCCATGCAAAGGTAGAGTCGGCCTTGTAGTAGCAAGCGAATCTGACGAAGAGCAAACGGTCAGTGTTGATCTTTCTTGACGTCAGCTTCATAACATACCCTATCCACGCGGCCGAGAAGTATCCAACGTTGATAAAACTCCCGTGTGCACCTGTCATCAAACCTCGAGAGTGAGGTGGAGCAACCTCTGAGAAATATGTCGGCATGGCGACGATGAGCATTCCAGTTGGTACGCCCGTAAGCGCTCTGCCGACTAGGTACTGCTGCCCGTTAGCAAAGTGTGGCACGTTCAACGTACGTCGGGTACATACCATGGCCTGATTGACGGCACCGCACTGAATCGAGCCCCCCAAAAGGCCAATAAGGCAGGCCAGCAGGAATGTCCTTCTACGACCAAGCGCATCGAGAGACCAGGCAGACACCAGACACCCGATGAAGCCAAAGCCAAAGAAGAGGCCATTGGCAGCACCGATGATGGTTGCCGTGTGCGAGTATCCGGGTTCCGTGGGGACTGAAACCAGGTTCATTTTGCTGTAGAATGTCGGCTGGCCTATCGTGTTTCCAATCACGGCCAGACTGTAGCCGGTGAACAGAGATCCAAAGGCCGCGAAGAGCACAACCTGTCATCTGACCGTGAGTGGATGGGGGGGATTGTGTCACGATGCGAGAGACATACCCATAGGTTGTAGTTCGAATAGGTCTCCATGTTGAACTTGCTGGGGTTTCACAGTGCTTGGAAGAAGGTTGTATCGTAGTCGTCCGAGGAAATTCGCAATGAAGCCAGCAAAGGGGAGGACGTGCTCAAGAGTAGCAGCACAGACAACTATATAAGTCGTCCAGCTTTCAAAGGACCAGGATGGTTTCCTAACCGAGGATTCCCTCTTCCTGATTGACAGTTGGGGACCCCAGATCCCAGTATTCACTAACCCCCGCATGTTTCCACGGTCCCAGTAACGTGGGTCAGCCAATCGAGGCTCTGTCTCTTTGTGTATCGTGCTGTAACGGCCTGCGAGTAACTCCCAAAACATCCTCGGTAACAATACCGTGAAACGAAGCCAGCGTCTTGGTCATGACTAAAGGGAAGTCAAGGCGGTAGTAACACTCTAATAAACGTACTAGTCCAAACAGGCGTCTTCGTCTCGTAAGTCAACCTCGGTTGGGTTCAATTAGAGACGAGAATCGATCTAGAGCAGCACAAGCAGTTGAAACCAGACTACTCTTCCGCGGTGGTATCATCAGCGAGAATGTGCACTCGATCACTAGACTGAAAGCGCCACGCTATCTAGCTAAGCCATCCTCCTCGGCATTCTCGAGAGACATGTCGGTCTCTGTCGGTGTGTACGCCTTGTTGTTCTTTCCCACAAAGTCAAGAAAATCTTGTGAAGCCAACAAAGAGTTCGCCTCGGGATCCCAGTCCATGTCGAACCTTGAAGTAAATGAAAGTCAGCAAAAGATCACTAGGCTATACTGACCAACGACGGGTTGAGTCCAGTCTTGGAGCACATACTGATGAGTCGGTTCGCACGTTGTAAACTTGAAAAAGTCCAGTTCCAAGTTGGAAAATAGATCCTGGTCGGGGTCAGGAAAGCCGAAATCGACCGATGGCTGATCTGAGGATGGGGATATCTGGTATTCTTGATAGGGCCCGCTCGACGATCTGGCGTCCAAGAGGCCATTTGCCGAACCCAGTGAACCGTTCGGTACTTTTGTAGAGTTTTCCTCGTTGCCTAGTCTTTTAGTTCGATTCCTCATTCTCGATCTTGCTTCGGAAAAGAGTCTTATGGAGAAATCGGCTGCCCAATAAGTCCTGCGCAGCTCTTGTAGGACGGTCATGCAGGTGTCCAGCTGCTGAAGTCCCACCTGGCGGGACAAAGGGTTCGCCTGGGAAGCCTCGTAGAGATGCATTTGCATGGTTGGAGAGATTGCTTGGATCCTGACGACGAGCAAAGGTTAGCGGCAGGGTGAGACGCACGGTGGGAGAGCCTTTACAAAGCTGATTGGCAAACACTCAGGTAGCCCAATTGACTCAATTTGATGAGACTGAGATTGACACTGGATGCTGCTTCCAATACCCTCGGCATGATGGTCGATCTCCAAGCCTTGTGCTCGCTGGGTGATAAATCAGACGGTGGCGACAAGATATAAGGCCGATACAACGCAATCAAGACGTTCCTAGAGCGATGGTCAGACCTCTGTCGTTTGTCTTCTAACTAACTTTCACCAAAGTACCTTTCGAACAAATCGAGCTGGAGCGAGAATAGCTGTACATCGGTGTCCTTGTCCATGCCGGTCGTATCTGTTCTCATCTCAAAGTACTCTAGCAAGCTTTGCTGGCTCGTTTCAATCTCACTCGTAGTCGCCGAGAGCATCCCAGGCCTGTAGTGGCTTTTGAGAATGCGTGATAAGACGATGCTCAAGTGGAGATACTCGATCCAGCATCGCCCGAGGACGTGCATGGAAGCCGGTATATACTCTCGAAATCTGTTGTCTCGGTCAACTCCACTGACGAGGAGAATGTCCTCGGGGGTTGGCATTGGAAGGTCTGTGTCCTTCGAATTGATCCTCATCGGTCGACCTAAACCAAAGGATATCCAAGTCTCCCGAAGGTAGCACGACCACCAGATCAGTCTCCAGAGGCTGTGATACGGGTATTTCGACTTGGAGGCCGACGGAGGAAGACGTCCTGGATTTCTGTGCAACCCAACTGAATGGCAAAGCCCGATGGCAACTCCGATCCAGTACCAGGAGCCCGTGCGATCCTCGGTATCGACATACCAATATGCCAGGAGGATCACAGACTGTATCAACACGATTTTATCTTTCTCATAGTCGACGTCGTATAATGCCTAGAAAATGCAATATTAGTGTTCGGCCTTGTGGGGATTCAAAATGCAAACGTGGTAGAGTGTTCGGACCTTGGCCTTCTGGTACATGTCCCGCTTCATGGCCTTGCGTGAGCGAAAGCCTGCCTTACGAGCTAGCTCTGGACTGACAAACTGCAACGACGGTCAGCTGGTGTCACCGCGTCAAAAGGCCAAATCTCTCCTCGGGATAGCACACATTTGAAGCCGCAAAAAACACGCTCCACAAGAGCAACAGATTGAGCTGCTGTAATCCATGCTCCTGGTAGCGGACCAGGAAGCGATTGGCGTCCAAGATTGGCAAGAAAGGGTGGACATATCGAAAATAGTGTCGAATAAGCTCGTCGCACACGCTCTGATCAGGCAGCGTGAACGCCCCTTTTGTTCGCAGCAAGGTAAGGTCTTCTTGACACACGGTCTGCACGGCAATTCGAGGAACCAAGTAGTGAGACGGCCGCTCGGTTTGGCAAACGTCCATAACAAAGGTCAAGACATTAGTTTCCCCTGCGCGACGAAGGCGATGAGTACCAAGCTCGCATCACTAGAAACTTTTGCGCTGGTGCACATACCTGCGTAGAACGGCGCGGTGGAATCTTTGTCTGGGCTGCCATTCATAGCATCGCTATAGCCTCCGGGGTTGTCACCTTCATCGATATCGGACAAGTTCAAGGTGTCGTCTTGAAACTCGACAACGTCACAGCCATTCGTGGCAGGTCGAGATCTGACGAAGTCCGATGTACCACGTGCGGGCAAACCGAGAGACGAGTCGACCTGGACATTTCTCTCGCTGGATTCGCCCGAGGTCGCTTCGGACGGCGCGGGCTGAGCATCATCAGATGGACGCGTTACCAGTCCGGCAGAAGGCTCGCTGTCGCCAGGCTCAACGCCACTACCGCGTGCTCGTCTTCTCGTTTTATATTGTCTTTTTCACACGTCCATGTCAGTGCGCCGATAATGGGGTGCAGACTTCTAAACCACAACAACGGTGCAATGCGAGACACCCACCTTGGTTTCTTTCGGGATGCCACTGTGCAATCACATCCATCTTGTCGGCAATTCCAGCACGGAGGACCACATTGAATGACGTTACATCTGACCTTGCGAGCATGACACTGCTCGCAGGCTACTGAAGCCCGTTTCCGTGTACGTTGGTCTGGTGCTCTGCTGCCGGGAGACTTGGGCGTCATGTTTTGGCACACAGTCGCTGCTGTTGAGTGACGGTAAAATTTCCAACCCGACGGCTACTCAAGCGCGCGTCGGCTGCCCAGAGGGGCCTGTCAAGCCTGTTTAAAGTCTCCCCCCTTGGAGCACACAGCCTTGGCCGGCCCTCGGATCGCGAACCCCGCACCCGGAGCGCCGCTGGCCAGAACCCTCGCCGAGAATAAGAGAGTCGGCATGTTTGCTATTAACCTACTTGTAACTTGTAAAAGCCCGGCAGGTGACACCCGCGGCGGCCAATGACCAGTATCCTTTGTTGCGGTCTTCACGAGATAAGGCTTCCCCCCCCCGCCCCCGCCCCCCTGCACACGAGTTACCCTCGGTCCATGAGATTGGTCGCGTCTCAGCCTTCAGACCGATATCCCTAGACTTTGGGCGAAAAGGTGCAGCCAATAACAACATTCCACTCCACAAACAAGTGGGTTTGTGCCCACTACTTGTAAATAAACTGAGCCGATGGGTCTGCACAACGGAGACAAGAGAATGGTGTGACCAGCTCACTTGGAACTCTGGCATCGAAATCAGAGCTCTCTCGCCTGCTTGACTGCTTGATAGCTTTATATCATAGGAGCAGCAATGAGTAATTTCGCAGCACACTGGCAAAAGGTATACTTTGTTTTGTGAAACGGTTCCCTCGTTTGAGGTCATGAAAGAGACTCAGCATGAGCCGATACTATATACATCCAAAGTTGTCGTATTTATCTTAGCCCAGAGGCTAGATAATCCAGGGGGAGTCTTCGTTGCGTATATAAGGTGCAAGTCCGTCGATGTTCGGCTTTCCATCAACCTGCTCATAAAATGCCTTGATTTTTCCATTGCCCAGGAACGCCCACTGATTGCTGTTCTCATATTCGAACTCGTAGTCTTCAAAGCGTGGGACTTTGATTGTCTTGACATAAGTCAGGGCGCTTCCACACCACAATTGAGGTTCGCCGTCGACGGTGCCGTTCTTGTACCATGACCTGTGGGTGACATTTAATATTGCTCAAGATCGTGAACGAGGGAGATGCTTACCGGCATGGCAATCCCCACACTGTTTTTTTGTGGAATGCGCTCATGTGTTCATGAAATTGATCGGTGGCCCGACGCTTTGGCTCCACGGATCTAATCTTCTCTTCCTGCATCTTCTTCATTACGGTGATGAAATATTCGCATGCTGTCTCGATCTAGACGGGAGTTTGGTCAGCCCGGATCAAACAGAAAGTATGCGCCAAACTTACAGCAGGGAGAATGGTTCCGTTCCCCAAGGGCCCTTGTGGGCCGGTTGTCATGAAGTAGTTCGGGAAGCCGGGAGCGGCAATCCCAAGATATGCATCGGGTATGTTCTTCCATGCGGTTTCCATCGAGACACCTCCGCGTCCGATGACTGGGAAGGGTGGAATGAAGGATGTATCAAAACCCGTGGCGCAAACCTAAGTGAGTTAGAACTTGGTCAAAGTGTAGAACACACATCGCAAGACTAACCAAGACATCAACATCGTGCAAGGTTCCGTCAACCATCTGCACCGCAGTCTCGGTAAGTCGATGGATCTCGCCGAAAATTGGCTCGACATGAGGCTGGACGAGCGTCTCAAGGTAGCCATCCCCAGGTGTGATCCTTCGGCATCCCGGTGCCCATTGTGGGATTATCTTAGCCTTCAGCTCCTCATTGCCCGGGCCCATCCGGTCTTTCATTTGCTGGACCATGAACTTATGCATTTGTTGCTGTGTCGAACTTCCGTTGATGAACATGTCCGTAAGAACGTTCATTTCTGCTTCTATTCGACGACGGAACTGAAGATGGGCCTGGGGATCCGCCCGGAACTGCTCCTTCTCTTCTTCTGTAAAGGTAAACTGTTCGTGCTTGTTACCCTTTGTCGACCCGGGGTTCGCATCACTTGTGCTTTCGTGTTCACCTCCATGCTCATCCTGGAACTGAAGAGCAACGGAGCCGCCCAACGCGGGCGATATCCAGGTAGGTGAGCGCATGAATACTTTCAACTTGGCCACATCTGGAAGGACATGTTAGTCGCGGCTCCTTGGTCGACTTTCCCCTCAGTAGATGCAGTCCAAGAACCAACCTTTTGCGATCTGGGGAAGAATCTGTTGACCCTGTGAGCCACAACTTCACGTTCTGCAAGTTTTGTCTTCTTACCTGGATCCCACTAGAGCCATTCCCAATGAGTCCAACAGTTTTGTTCTTCAAATCCAAACTGGCGTCCCATCTCGCCGAGTGCAGCTTTGGCTTTTGGAACGTCTCGATACCGGGAATGTTGGGCCAGCTCCATTTGTTCAGGAACCCGGCTCCGTTTATGAGGACGTCGCATTCATCCCTGAAGATCCTCGAGGGGGTCGAGGTGCGGTCCTCGATTTCCAATCGCCATTTCGACGTGTTCTCGTCCCAAACGGCTTCCTTGACAACATGAGAAAGCTTGGTAAACTGGGCGATATTGTGCTTCTCGTAAAATCCTACACGATTAATGTCAGAAAAAGGGGATTCCCAATCATCAGCGACAGATTGACCTCTGCAATAACCATGGATTTCTTTGGAGCCAGCATAATACTCGGACCAATCCGGCTTGGGATCGAAGGTAAACGCTTTGAAGAGATTGATTAGCTTCTCCCCCCGTCGACCTCGCTCTTAAAAACTTACTATAGATATGAGCAGGTATGTCACAGGCACACCCTGGATATCTATTTTCTAACCACCTGGCTCGAAGTCAACATTGTGATCCTCCCAAAATTGCACCTCAGCACAAGTTTCTTTTCTTACGTTCCACCGACGTCGTCGTTCTTCTCATATATTGTCAGCTCGAACGAATCCAGCAGCGTCATCATCTTGTATGCGAGACATAGTCCTGAAATTCCCGCACCGATGCATATCACTTTGATGGGTCGAAGGACCTCTGAATGGTACCATTCTGGCACCTGGTAAGTGCCCAGCGAACCCATCTTTGGCGAGTAACAGTCTTTTTCCAGTCGATAGCGTTTATCGATATCAACACCGCAAACAGCTGCTGAGAAGATGCTTCCGCGCGAAAAGCTGCTTCGCCCACCCACCCCGCTATATAAGTCTTGGGAGTCAGACCTCATTCACTTACCGAGGTCAGGCGCGTGGTTGTGACGAAAACGAAGCCCGATCTTGGACCATCATGCAAGACCTCTCGCCACCTCCGCAAGACCCCGTTCATTCCCCCACATTTCCCGATACTTTGGCTCCAGAGCGGGAGGCTTCGTGGTGATTGGACGCAGTCAAGGTTCAAGATTGACTTACATGACTCGAGCTGCTCGAGCTGTAGCGGTATTTTTTCTGTATTGTTGCCGAAATTACCTCGGTCAAGATTTGTTTCTCGATGGACGGCTGAATTTGGTTCGAGAGAGGTGTTTTGCAGACAGAACGAAGTGTTTTGCAGAGGTCAAAAGCTCATATCTTTCTGGACCCCTGTTAGTCCACATCTATTGCTTCGTCGAATTGATCATCTCGATGTATATCTGAAACCCAACTCTTGTCCTCGGACAGCGATTTTCTATTTAGGTGGGCTTTTAGATATACGGCAGGATCGTAGGTAGGTCTGTCAATATGATCCCGGCTACAATGCTACAGTCCTTCCCACCATCTATGATACCGAGCCATTGGTCCCTGCAGCTTTCCTGATGCTATACTCCATCAACCCATCCCCTGCACTGATCAGCTCCTTGTACTTGCCACCAGACGTGAATTCAGCCGCTTCATTCAAGTACGGAAGAACTGGCCTGGCCGAGAACTCCCTTCCGCTGCACTCAATGGCCTGTCCAGTCACCGTCGCGTCTTGCAGGATATATTTAATAGCCTCAACGATCGTCGACGTCGGCGTAATAACCTCGCTTGGGAGTGCATCTGCCAACTCCTTGCTGAAGATGGCCGTGGGCACCGCACCTGGGCAAATGGCATTGATGGTGATGGGCTCGCCGTCATCCTTGAGTCTCTGCCCAAGGGACCGAGCAAGGCCCACAACCTATACCTCGTCCTCCGCATCAGTCACAGCTACCCGTAAGTGATGACAGAGGTCCAGTGGCTGGGCTGGTACTTACGCCATACTTGGCCGCCGAGTAAAGGGAAACATCTGGCGCCGAGTAAAGCCCTGCTGAGCTCGACGTCATGACCAGCTTTCCTCCTTTCTGAGGGTTTTTCCGGAAAAAATGCAACGCGAGATACGACGACCAGATGACGCCCTTGAGGTCGACATCGATGACCAGGGAGTCTGGTTCTTGGGGGGCACCACGGTCAAAGTCCTTTGCAGGACGACAGAAGTCGAGTCTATCCACGATGCCCTTCTCGAATTGTCAGTGACCCGCAGACGGGCTTTGCGTCGAACATACGTACCGCATTGGCAAACACTGCAGTCGCCGGGCAACGTTAGTCTTGGATGTATGCGCGCGATCCAGAACAGGGTGCATACCAAAGTCGACTTGACCCCATCTCTCCTCGGTCAAGGCAAACGCGTTAACCTGATCATTGTAGACGGCAACGTTACCCCGAACAAAGAGCACGCGGTCCCCAAATCTTTCGGCAATCTGCGCTCCAGTGGTTGTATTCAAGTCGACGATTGTAACACTCCAGTCTGCATTGACAAGATACTCGACGACGGCCAGACCAATTCCCGAGGCTTTGGACAGATATTAGAGTGGCGGAAACACCATGCATTGACAGGACACTTCACCTCCTCCCGTGACTATGGCGACTTTGGCAGGCATTTCGAGTGTATACTCCCACCTAGTAGCTCTTGTCGACACAAGCTAGGGCCGAATCCCGGGGAGTCGGTGTGTAACAGGCACTGCTAATCTATGCGCCGCCAAGCAAGACTGAAAAGCCAGATGTTTGCGTGGTCAATAGGTATTCTGTGAGTGATTTGTCCTAGCTGCCTGGCCCATCTAAACGGCCGCAGCCTTGTGGACAGGGGGTAGCCGGAAGCCGGCTAATTCGGTATCCTGATTGCCGCAACATGTTGATATTAGTCGGAAAACGTCTCTCGCGTGACTCAGACGCTTTATCCAGCGTCAAATCCCCCCCTGGCCGCATTTTATGATGATTTCAAACAGGCGGTCCCTCAGCCGCCAGCTCTGGACACACGCCTCAAGGCTGGGTGGGTTCAGCCACTCTTCGCCAAACACCCGGCTCAGGGTCAAAGCGCACCAATATCTGCGGGTTCCAGACTTCCGAGTCTGGAGTTGTCCTGGGGTTCCCACGGGGCTGGTACCGTTTATCCTTCGGCCCACCGGCTGGGATCGTGACTTATAGATGCTACATGTGAGACACCAGGTCTATCTATCCAACTGTGGTGTGACAGTCAAAGTCGTGACCGCAAGCAGCTTTGTTTTCCTTGCAATAGTCAGGACCAGGAATTTGGAGAAAAAATATGGCTGCCGCAATTGAGCAGGTCCCTTCCTCAAAGGAGGATGCGGCGATCGAGCATGCCTCGGTCTCCCAAGTCGAGGAGCTGAGCATCGACGACCTGGCCAAACCTGAAGATATCATGATCATTACGACTGAGAATCCCTATGGCGAGATCAACTTCATCGGAACCTACTGCGCCATCGCGCTCTCCCTCATGGGGGCCTACGGTGGTTGGACCATGCCAGCAACGTCTCTGTCTTATATCAACGCCGACTTGGGTGCGTCAGACTATATCACATCCACTTCTAGGAATCAACTGGTACGGGTTCTGACAACATGGTTGTATAGGTCCCACCCAAGACATCAACTGGGTTGCTCTCGTGTGGACTCTCTGCACGGGCATCGGCTTCACCCTCGTGGGCCGCCTCTCTGACATCTTTGGACGTCGCTATTTCTTCATCGCTTCGGCCGTGTTGGCGACTGTCGGCTGCATCGTGGCCTCCAGAGCCCAGTCCGTCAATCAGTTGATTGGGGCAAACGTGTTGATCGGCCTCGCTGCGGCGGCGCAATCTTCATTCAACTACGTCGTCTCCGAACTGGTCCCTGTCCGCCATCGGTTCTACGCCTTGTTTGGCGTCTACCTCTTGGGAATTCCCATTCTCGCATTCGGCCCGATATGGTCACGTCTTTTTATCGTCCACACCGCACAGAGCTGGAGATGGGATTACTACATGATGACCATTCTAAGTATGGGAAATGCGCCTCCTCAGAAACCCCCCTTTCAAAAAGCGATGTCTAACTTGTCTCTTCTGGCCAGATTTTGTCAATGTGCTCCTCTGGACCATCTTCTACCACCCACCGGACTTTGAGCACTTGCATCGAAACCGGTCCAAGCTGCAGGAACTCAAGGAGATCGACTACGTCGGCATCTTCCTCTTTACGGCTGGCATGCTCCTGTTCATCATGGGTCTGTCCTGGGGAGTCGTCCAGTACCCATGGAAGTCGGCACACGTGCTCAGCACCCTTGTGATCGGAGCTGTCCTGGTCATTGCCTTTGTACTCTATGGTTCGTCTGCCTTTGACCCTCTTTCTGATTTTCGTACATGGGTGGAGGCAGCCCCATGCTAACCAGAAACATAGAGATTTACATGCCCTTGCGTCGACCTATTGTTCCGATGCATCTGTTCAGAAACAAGGACTACTCGGCCCTCATCGTAGTGACGACCGTGGGAGGCATGATGTACTTTTCAATCAGCGGTAAGCCGAAGTGCTCTGACGGCTTCGAATGCCTCGCTTGATCTTCGCATTTGCTAACTCGCGTATCAAAAGCCATTTATCCTCAAATGGTGGCTGTCTTGTTTACGAATGATATTGTCTACGGCGGTATTCTCTCGTGCACTGTCACCGCGGGCACAATTGCTGGCCAATTGATCGGGACCGCGACGGCCGTGGTAGGTGGGCGCATGAAGTGGAAGCTCGTGGCTTCTTGTGTCGCCATGACTGCCTTTAATGGCGGCGTTGCCGGCGCTGGCGAGGACAAGGCCATAGCGACTGCCTTGTCCTGTCTCGGGGCTTGTATGGTCGGTATCCTTGAAGGTTATGCATGTGGTCTGGTGACCATTGTGATCGACGACCAAAAGGAGTTGGGTGCTGCCGGAGGCATTTTCGGCAGCGTCAGGACAATTGGTGCTGTCGTGTCAAGTGAGTCTTCCATCAACACTTTTGTGTGACGTACTTCTATACACTCGTCTCCTCCGCAGAAAGAGTGATTGATACTAATACGCCGAGCCTACAGCTGCCATTTTCACATCCATTCTCAACAACAAGCTGTCGGGACATATCTCCGGGGACGTCGTCCCTACCATTGTCCAAGCAGGCCTCCCCGTGTCTTCGGTGGAATCCTTCGTCGGCGCCCTCACAGCTGGCAACGCAGCCGCGATGAGCAAGATCCCAGGCGTGACGCCGTCGATCATTGCCACGGCAGCAACGGCACTCAAGGATGCGTACTCCAAGTCCTTCGCTATGGTGTTCCTGGCCAGCATCGCATTTGGCGGCTGCGCCATCATCGCGGCCCTTTTCGTCCCCAACGTTGACGACAAAATGACGCACGAAGTCGTGCGCCGGCTGGAAGCGAGTGGCTTGGGCAAATTCGGCGGCAAAAAGGAGAAGAATGCGACTTCTGTCACCGAGACCAAGGCGTGACGGGGGCTGCTGAGGGTGGTGGTGTGTCCAATGAGGACGACGTTGCCAGATTTTCCAGACGTTACAGACATGTTGGAGAGATTCTAAATTGCAGAGTCGTGCAGGCATTCAAGGAAGTCGTCGGAAAATCATCTTGGGCGGAAGTCTGATCTTAGTAACAATGTGGCCTAAAATCCCCCCCTGGGCTCAGCCAGCTTTTGGGTGGAGAGCAAACCTTGATGATCGCTTCTGTTTCTCGTATCGATCCATCCCCGAGTCTCTTCAATTCCGAGCCCACCAATTCAAGTAGATAGTCACTGCCGCGGCCTAATAATGGACAGTGATGCTGGCACTAGGACTTATTATGGGGGATGGGAAGGCAAGGCTGAATCGTCCCGTTCAGGAAGGATGTGGAACCCCCCCCCCTCTTGGCTTATGTAGAGTATCTAATTAAAGGCTTGTGAGGATTCAATCCCACTCCGTAACATTGTCACATTTTGGCGGGATGATATCCTCATTCTCATCCCAACTGCAGCAGAATGCCACGTGGAGATCGTCGATCGCGCAAACGCCTTGGTGAAGCTATGTGGTCTACCCCGTTCATGTTGCAGGTAGGCTGTGAAAACTTCTGTGTGCAGCACCCCCAGAACAGGATCTCCCCCGCTGGTCCAGGATTCAGGTGACGTTCCTCCATCAGCTTATGTTTATTTATTTTACCCGAGCACGGGCTCTCTTTCACCATCGAATTTCTTGATTTCCTGTGTCTCAAGACCATGGATTTCTATCGGGGGCCTGGTGCCCAAGGCGTCCAATCCACACAAAGCCATGTTTCCACGGCAACCGGAGAGGGTCACCACCCATGACACAACCATGATTGGGTGTTGGCACGTCCTTCACTGTCCGGACGGCATGGCAGATGAGAGAGATGTCATCATGGCTGCCAGCTACCTTCTTTTTTCAGAGCTGAGATGCCAGTACCTCGTACTGTAGGGTTTGTGGCGGGGCTGAAAAGTAGCGAGTCTCTCTGTCTGTCTGTCTGTCCCCAGCCTTGATCCTTGTAGCCCGCGTGCACCCGCCCAAGGTTTATTTCGTATCGACCCAACAACCACAGGAAGGCTTAAATGGAGCGTGGGATGCTTCCTCGCACTTCAACACCCGCGGCCATGTTTCTAACTGGAGCTGTCTCTGTCCTCCTCTGAAAAGACGACGTTTCGGTGGGCAGGACTGTAACCTGAAGCATTGGAGACCCAGGCACCCAGGTCATGTCAAGTGCTTGATCATCTCAAGCCTACTGGTACAACTGAAAAGACAGCGGGGAGTAGCGGCCTTGAGCATTGGGCACGCACACACACACACACACACACACACACACACACAGTCTCTCTCTAAACACACATGCGCACCACGGCGCTCTTCGCGGGTCTGCTTCCACAGCTCCAAGCGCGAGATACGTAGTAAGAACCTACCCTTCTAACAGATCATCGCGGTTCACGAGACACTGTCTATCTCCGGTCTACCCTAGGAGCACTCGACTAACAGAGCCCAACCACCAGTGACGATGGAGCGTACACCGAAGTCGTACAAGCCACGAGCTGGAGCTCCTCCGCGTCTTACTACACCACGTACGGCTCGACCGCGATTGTCACCGTCACGACCTACATCCCCTGCCCGGTCATCATCAGCTACACCACGGTGCGCTACTGCTCGAGCTGCAGCACGTGCGACGGGGGCTGTGGTTCTCCCACATCGGTGCTGCAGACCACCGTCTGCGTGCCGAAACTGTGTTCCACGGCCGTCAACGACGTCGGCCAGGCGACCACCACGCCCTTCGTGGCGGGGGAGTACGCTGTTGCCTACGTGACGAGCAACGGCGGCGGGGGGCAACCCGCTGTGACGACGAGCATCCCCGCGTCCTCGTGCACGACCTACGAGCAAATCGCTCTCACCGGAATCGATTGCCAGACGCTCCCTGCGTGCGGCGGCGGCGGCGGAAGAAGTAGCGGACTTACCTGCGAAGCGAAGCCGTGCACCACGTACATCGACGCGGACGGGGACGGGAACTACGACCCTGACGAAACCCTCACCGAGGGTACGCAGTACTTCTTCACCGAGTTCGCGCGGCTCACCGTAAACGGCCAGGTCACATCCACGCCGGCCAGTCTATGCGAGGCGCTCACCGTCCCGACACCATGGGCCGCCGACGTCCAGGCCACAGTCGCCTGCGGTTCTGACAATGACAACAACAATGACGCCAACGGCGACGGCGTCCAAGTCATCACGTACACGTACACGACCAACGGCGCCACCATCGTCGTCGCCACCACCCTCCCCTCGCACGGCGGGCCTTTTCATCTCACCGCCGCCGGCGATGGCAGCAGTAGCAGTGGCTGTGGACCCCGCGCCGGGGGAGATCTAGGGAGAACGACCCTCTTCTGGACATGTGTCGGCACGGCGGTCGTGGCGGGCGTGGGCGTGGGTATGATTGTTCTGTGAGAAGTTGAGGTTTAGAGATGGCAAAGGGCACGAAAAGAAACGAAGAGAACATCGACAGCATAGATGTATACGACATTCGACATTCGGCAACATTTTACCGGACCTACATAGGTACCTTTAACATGTACTGACACGTACTTGTAACGGTATAGGTAGGTATGTATTTTTACGAGGATGACTACCTAGGTATCTACCTGCACAGTCGACGACGACAAAGAGTCCCTGGTAACAATGTAAAGCGAGTATACGTACAGCCCGGCGCGGCACAGCACGAGGGAGGGGGGCGGGTACCAGGCAAGCGATCAAGAATGCCATTCTTTCTGATGCCTTTTCCCCTGATTTTCGGGTGTATGGGAGAACACGCGGAGATTCACCATGTGAGGGTACTCAATGGACATGTTACCTAGGGTATACATGTCATACACATCATACATACATGATGGTACACGACGGTACACGACAGTACACGACGGGAAATGACTGACGCCGCGATCACTGGATCAGATCACAGCAAACAGGCCCTCTATGTATATGTGTATGTAGCATATACACGGAAATTGGACAGAGGGCGGTCTGGCCATCTCGGGTACTATGATATCATTCCCCTAAGAGGGCCCCGCTGTGCGAAAGGAGCATGTCCGCATAGTCTCTATCATCAGGTATAGAGAAAAATAATGGGATGGAAAAGAATGGGAGAGGGTTGGGTCATGGGCGCTCATACATATCATGTTTACCATCCCGTCCAAAGGGAAACGACGGAGAGAGAGAGGTGCCTGTGTTGATCTTGTCGATGTTGATTTATCCTAGCAGTACGTAAAGGGTGTCGCAAAAAAAGATTCCCAAGTCGAGTATCAAAGTATTGAGAATGGCATGTCGTCAGTGAGGCTGGCGCCCCCTTTCCATCTCTGAAAAAGCCAATGTGGCCACCATCAGTCCATCCAATTGTTCAATCCGCTTCGTTGGGAATTCCAACAATCCCTGATCCATGGATCAATACAATCCTCGTCAAAAAGTCATTCCAAACCCTCAGAGGTCTTTGGTCAAGTCCGAGTTCAGTCTGCAGGCACTCTAGGAAGGTATGTAGCTGTCCAAAAGTCTAGGTCTGAACTGTTCCTCGGAAATAGGGTGCGGTTCGTCTTCTCAAGGCTGGCGTCTGAAGGCTGGCGCAAGTTGCTCTTTGCCGGTCCTGTGGTGACTGCTTGAAGTATGCTGGTCCTAACATGCTGGAAGGGGAGACTAGTGAGCCTGGGTTATTGCGTCCAGCTCATCACAGTGCTTCCTGCAGTTCTCTGATCTTGTAGTATATTTCCTTCAAGACCTCTTCTTTACCAACCTGTTCCAGCCCATTAGCAAAGCAGATACAACTAGATTGTCGAAAACAAGAGGCAGATATCGATAGCGGTACCGACGAAACAGCGCTGGTGATGCTTACCTTTATCTGAAAACCCGTCGGCTTCCCTCCCTCCAAACCAGTGAGGTGCATGGTCTTTCCAGTCGGTTCTTTGCCATCGTGTGTGCCCACATTCATCTCTTTGAACACCGGCGTGTTGAGCAGTAGACGATGTGTACCCATGGCGCGCATGATGAGTCGACCCCTGCGTTCCAGAGTCACAGACGACTCGCGTTCGCCGCCTTCAAGAGCAGCTTCAATATCTTCTTCGTTTGTTTCCGCAGAATCGTCTTCTTTGGGTGCCTTCTCTCCTCCGGTTTTGCCATCGGTGGCAGGTGTTTGCACGGTTGATCTCGCTTCATATCGCATGTTGATCTTGAAGTCCCCTATTCCGCTCTCTTTCCACTCCCTTTCAAAGTGATATAGCTTCGCTCGACAGCTGAAGACCGTCTCCTCGTCTTCTTCTCCTGTATTGACTACCGAGTATCAGTTAGCAAAAGCCTTTCACTGTAGTACCAATACAAACTCACGCTCTTGCTCGCGGAATCTCGGGTCTTGCTCAGCTTCTTCGCCTGCCGCTTGTGCTTCGTCGTTTTCGCCTCCGTCTTCACTATCTTCCTCGTCTTCATTCGTCTTCGCCCCAAAGGGCTTCGGCTTGCCAAACGTGCCTGACGCTCCCGCCGAAGTACCAAACGGGGAGAGGCCCGCACCAAGTGGCTTTGCAGCACTTCCAAACCCGCTCCCTCCTCCGAATCCAGCAGCAGACCCGAAGCCGCCTCCAGACCCAAAGCCGGACGTGGGTTTACTCGCGAACGGTGACGCACCTCCGAATCCGCCAGAGGACGACGCGAACCCGCCCGTTCCTCCGCCCCCACCAAATCCGCCACCAGCTTTGGCCGTCGCACCTACCGCTCCGAAGGGTGACTTTTCGGACGCAGCAAACGCTGACAATCCAGAAGAAGCAAAGGCCGAATTTGACGTCCCGCTCCCGGGAGACAAAACTGAGTCCGACGCTTTCTCCGGGGATTTGGGGGACTTGGGGGATTTGAAGCTACTGAACGGCGAGGTGGTTGATGTGTTGGCGAAGCCTGATGATGCCGTGACCTGTGGCTTGGCTTCTTCTTTGGTTGATGGCAGGGCTTTGACTTGGGTCTCTGCTGCCACTGACTGCTTCTCCGAGCTAGCAGCAACACTAGATGATTTATCCTCTGCAGTTGATCCACGGGCGTCCTGCGCGACAGCAGCTGTTTCCATCTCCTCCTTCGAGGGCGCCAACACTAGAATCCCAGGCCCGCCTGGAGACTGTTGTGCCTCTGCATCACTCTCTTCCTGGACCGGGCTCGCCATGTCCTCGTACTTCTCAAAAGTCTGTATCTCCTCGTCGTTCCCCGAAATCTCTCGGGATCTCATCCTCTTGTGTTGGCTTCCCTTCTTTGGGAGAGGGGCTCCTCCATTTTCGACACCGGGACCAGACTCTTCGGTTTGCAGGTCCTCGAACGATCGTTTCTTCGAAGGACGGCCTCGAACTTGTCCGTTTTCGCTTTGCGACTCGGGCAATGATTCGGCCGTCCCAGCATCGTCCACAGGGTGATCTCCAGCGACTCCAGGCTTTACCTTGGAATACTGCGAGAGTCCTGCAATGGATGTTTTCTTCAGTTTCTCCCGCGCGGTGCGTTCGCCTCCCTCGCCGTCTGAACTTCCTTCTTGAGGCGGTAGATCTCGTATGACTGTGTCTTCTGTTGATTCCTGCGGCGGTGGTAGGTGTTCTGCTTGGTTGCTTGTAGCCATCGTGGGTGATTGGAATTGTAGTGACCGGGTCTTGTTGACGGATATGTTCTGCAGCCCGTGTAGCACTGCGGCAGTCTTCGAGGCAGCGGGGACTCGCAGGTTAGATCCTCCTTTGTGTAGACACCGTTATCCGACCGGTTGGTGCAGATGTTGAGATTGGCACTGATGGATTGTATGATTGGGTTCTCAACCTTCACACCGTTCAGGGCAACTTCCCCCTCATGGACCCAGCCCAAGTCTTCTTAGATGACACGAGTACTTGACCCGAGTGCGAAAGGGAGTCCAGAAGGACTGCTTGCGCCTCGAGTGCTTGGAGGCTCGAAAGGCGGTGCGAAAGCAGCGGTCGTCTTCCGTGCTTGGTGGTCGGAATCACTGGTTAAGAAAGACGTTTGCGGGAGGGTTTTCCAGTCGGAACTCGGGACAGCTTGGGTGCTGTAGAACGTGTACAGTATCCCTTAGGAGTAACCCCGACGTGGGCGCTGCAGACCAGAGATGGATACACAGTGAGAGGGATGTGTGGTCGGCACAAAGATACAGGTACGATATGATTGAAGCGGCTCAAGACGCATGATGCGCAGGCACCTGCTCCGCACAAACAACAACTCATAAACTTCTCATATTCCGCCCCACTCACAGCAAATGTCGTCAGGGCCTCAAACCAAAACATTTGAGACGTTGCCATGCTATTGAAGTCCATTCTTCTACATTACATTTTTGGAATACTAGACTGGCAGTGCGAGAGGCACAACAGCCACCCATCCCTGGAATCTAACTAATAAAACATAGGCAGCCGAGACTGACATAGAAGACAAAGAGAGGGTAGACGCTCAGGGCCACCCTATTCTTTACAACCCCTGATCCTCCGAGGATACTAACTCCGGCTGCTAGTGACCATGCAACAAGAACAATGTATACAGGAATGCGCGCAATAGTTGGCAGGCCGAGCGCGCTTAGTAGGGCGGCAATGGTGAGTGGGAACAGAGTATACCCAATAATGGAGACGGATTGCATGAACGAGCTGGAAAAAGGGTCAGCACTGGTGGAATTGAAACAAGGGATTGGAACGCCTCACATATTTCCTCCCAGCAGTTTGATCTGGAGGGTTACCACAGCTTCGCCAATCCAGACCAGGGAAAAGACGCCAGAAAAGACCAGGTCGGTCTGCCCTTTGCTGGCGCGCATGGAAAGGAAGACGCTCAGCAGCAGGCAGAATATTAGAGGGCCCCTTGGTACAACTGTTAGCATGCGTGCAGTGGGCAGTAGATCTTATCTCACCATAGATCCCAGTCTCTTAAACCGTCACTCATCCCTCCCTGCAAAATGCCATCTGCGTCAGGCCAGCGACCTAGAATGCCTCTAAGATCTCTTCCAAATCCTCCTCCCTGGCTCTCAACATCGCCCATGCCGGTGCCCTGTCTCTGAAGCATGCCTCCAAGCAAATACTTGGGGTAGAGGACTTGTTTCATTTTCTCCCATACGGCGAATAGGTCTCGAGATACCGTGTCCCAGACACTCTCATCGATGGTGTTTTGTGTAGCATGCCTGTCTTCACCGGGTATTCTCGAAGTCAGATAGCTTTGGTTCAGGGGTGCGCTGGAAGAGGAGGATTGAATGTTGCCTGTCAAAGGGGCGCGATCGGACGGTTCGTCGGGTTCGACTTCTGCAGAAAGTGAGCCTCACTTGTGTCTTTGTTGATTGAGCCAGGGTCCTGTACCATCATTGAGGAAATCGTCTTCGAGTACTTCATGGTCGTCGTCATAGGAGTTTCTCGATAGTCCACTGGCCATGGTTGCTAGCGTGTCAACATCCGCGACTGAAAAAG